AACTAAGATGAAAATGATTTACACTCTATTATGCTATGTTTAACTTCAATGAATACCCACGAAACAATATTTACGCACACAAGTTCCACAATTGAAAAAAACATTTGACTACGTGAAAAAATAGAACAAGGTCATGAATTTCAGGCCAAAAATCCCCTACAGTGATAATGCGAATCATTATAGGTTCATCATAACCAGTAAAACCGTTATATAATGTTTTTCATTGGTTTAAAAATCATTATACAACGGTTTCTCATTGTTTTAAAACCATAATTTAACGTTTTTTCTTGGTTTTAAAACCAGTAAATCCGTTATATAATACTCTTTATTGGTTTTAAAATCATTATATAACGGTTTTTCATGGTTTTATAACCATAATATAACGTTTTTTTCTTGATTTTAAAACCAGTAAAACCTGTAAAACTGTTATAGGTATAATGTTTTTTTATTGGTTTTAAAATCATTATATAACGGGTTTTCATGGTTTTAAAGCCATAATATAGCGATTTTCCTTGGTTTTAAAACCAGTAAAACCGTTATATGATGTTTTTTATTGGTTTTAAAACCATCATAGTCTCGTGGCAGGCTCCTTGGTAGTCTTGGGGCAGGCCTGGCTGTATCGTTGGTTAATGAAGGGCAGTTGCCGGCGACCAGTACGTGTAAAAGGGTCGTGCAGAGGAGGGTTAATTTAAGGAGGCTATTGAAGCGGCAAGTTGGGCCTGAAAACTGTTATAATGACGTTTGTGAGTATTGTTAGGATCGAATAGGCCAAACCTGGCCAGTCATTGATTCTAGATCTCACAAAAATTAACACAGCTTGCCGGACTTTCGGTCCCCTTGTTACTGCACCAATCATGCTGTTGTCAACCACCCGGCCACTTTGTAGATTTTGAATACATCTTTCACAGGAAGCTGGGATCGAACCTGCTACTCACGGTTCCAACTACACCCGGTTCCAACTTGACACCTGCCTGACATGAGTAACCGGAGCAATATTAGTAGTATATTAACATTGCCATTATAATATAATAATATTGATAATAATATTAGTAACCGGAGCAATATTGTCACAAGCCTACTTCCCAAAAAGGATACGTTATAGTGAGCGCAAAATGACTTGCACTGATGGTTGCCGCCACGTACGACAACTTTAAAATGTTCTCTGTTGCGTACAAACGTCCTCAGGTTGCTACACTCAACAGTTTACGTATAATTTAAGTTGAAAGTTCCGTTCCCGGAGTGACATACGGCTGTAGAGGGTTAAAATGTTCACTGTTGGGTACAAACATCCTCAGGTTGCTACAGTCAATAGTTTACGTATAATTTAAGCTGAAAGTTCTGTTCCCGGAGAGTGAGATATACGGCGGTAGAGGGTTAAAATGTTCTCTGTTGCGTACAAACGTCTTCAGGTTGCTACTCTCAATAGTTTACTTATAATTTCATATATACAATAGTTTAAGTATAATTTAAATTGAAATTTATGTTCCCGGGGGGCGGGGAGTGACATACGGTGGTAGAGGGTTAAGTATTCATAACTGTTACTACTGAGTCACCATGCATTGTGGCGAGGTTTGATTACTGTTCGAACCTTGATTCATTGTTCGATTGTTGGTCCCGACGATGTTGATATTGTGGTCATGTGATGTTTATTCAAATTTATGAAGGCTTCATAATCCCTAATCAACAAGTTTACTGAACTATTCATTGTATTTTTATTAAAGCAAACTATAAAAATTGCAGAAGTATTGAATGCATCAATCGGCTTTCCAGAAGTTTTATATGTACTTCAGCTGGGTAATAAAAATTACGTGCAGCAGGAAACATTTATTTCTTTTGCTAAATAATGCCATCGCAAACCTAAGCTCAAAATTTGTAAGCGAATTTCTTACATTTCGTTACTGAGAGCAACACAAAAGCAACAATTAGAATAACGATACATAGCGGGACTCAGGGACAAAGCTCTGCTATACTAATCCGGTCCAAGATCTCTGAATATTTTACGACGTTACAATTAATGTGTTTCCTTCGTTCTCTCCCTGTTAAATGTAATACTTTAATATTAACGTGTTTCTTGGTTACAGTAATTCTTAAACCAGATACCTTACCACTAATGTGTTTCTCGGTTACAGTTATTCATCCGCTTATTACACAACATTTATTGTGTTTCTTGATTACAATGAGCAATGAGAGACGGTTTGTCCAAAACACGATGCATCTGTTGAGCTTCTGTCGGTCATCCTCACTCAGTTCGGCCTGACAAAAGCTGGCATCATTGGCGTTTCAGTTGGAAAGTATAACCCATTAATTCTTAAAAGTGAACAATTATTCCGAAATCAGATAGGGTCTAATAAATGTCTTACTCGGTTACCATTTTAGCGAGGGTATACATGCATCTATCGTTATCAATTAAAGGTTCATTAGAGGTTCGTACAGAATATATTAACTTCGTATGCACTTGATCGTCCTAACCCAGCAGCGACGGTCTTTCCGTGGGTGCAGGAGTGGTCTTGATTCATTAACATTCGTCATGAAATTGTGGCAAAGCGAAGGGTTTTTTAGACTCTTCCTCAAGTTCAATTTTCAGTTCCACAAGTAGACCAGCAAAGTATCATGGATACCAGCATCATCATCCATAAGATATTGCTTTAAATCTTGAGAAAATTAGGAAATAAAAAATTAAATTAATTAAGCGATTCTAAAAAAATCTCGGGTTTGCCACTATGCTGATGATGATGAAACATTATCACTCATCAACACTCGTAATGTATAAATCATGATAAGAGACTGCCTATCCGCAGAACATTGTCTGCCTTGGTGTTGTTGCCATACATTGGTACACCCAATGACTTCAGGAACGATCGAATCATTCATGATCGGAAAATTAAACGGTAATGTAAGTCATGCAGCTGGTTCGTGACTAAGTTAGTGTAAAGATACCACTTTGTTTGTTTTGTTTCGTAAGTTTTAGTTTTCCGGTCAGTTTAGTTGACGGCCCTCCGTGGTTATTATCTGTGGCTGTGTTCTGTGCTCTCTAAGCCTTGGTTCAGCAGCCTCGTATATGTACCCTCTTGGATCAGCAGCCTTCTAGCCGTGAGAGTGTCACTGGGAACTAGTAATTCTAAATTTTTGCCACTGTTTCTACCATTATACTGTACATACGACTGAAAACTTACGTCCCCCAACACTGATACTGACAGACAGCAGAAAATTATCCTCCACCTCCGACAGCCCAATAAAAATAACCATACCTCCTTTGTTTGAGCATGATACCGGGAAAAGGACGATCATTGACAAACAGTACAAGGAATCATTCATTTCTGGACCTAGACCAAGAGAACCGAAACACTTCCGATATTTTCATAGACAACACCCTCTATCCATACACAAACAAAGAAACAGTGTTAGGAAAACATTTCGCCCATCAGTGATGAAAGTAATAAACATCAGCACCCAAGTAGTAAAAAAAGCAATGAAACTAAAAAACTACCCGAAATACACATATTTTGCCACCTCTCACCAACATAGAATGCACTTCATACCTCACCGTTGGTAGATCATCCCTCCTTTACGTCCCGACGTTGTTACACCCAATCAATATTATCCATATCCGAACTGATGACAGTACATAACAAAGCCCTTTGAGTTTACAAAGACGCATAATACTGGAGCCCATATCGCAGTATTATGCCAGACACACTGGACCGACTTCATTTTCTCTCAAACACTACACGAACAATGCGACATTCCACAATAAAAACAGCGCTTCACCAATGAGCACACAAAACTTTGTCCATCATAAAAACAGATGATCCCAACTCTTCTGTCAACTTATAAGTCCCCCCAAACGCGATAGCAAGGCAGCAGCGGCTATTTATCTACGCCAAATGACACGCATTAGGTCCCTGCCCCTGTACATGCAACCACTAACCACACAACCCACACCATCATCCAATACAATCATTAACCCACACCACCAGCCACACAACCCACACCATCATCCAGTACAATATGATTGGCTCGCTTAGCGTCGGCAGGTGTCGGCAACCTGGACCAGGCGTATGGGTCCAACTAACGCTGACGACCAGGCCCGAGTCACTGGAGCAGGGACCTCCAAACTATGGCCCGCGGGCCATATCCGGCTCTCTTCATAATTTCATCCGGCCCGCCGGATGAAATCGTGAAATGAATAGTTGTTGTACGAATGGCATTGCATAATTATTCAAAACTGGGGCCTGCTGACTGGTGGCGCTCAGCCCGAGTCAGTTTTCCTCTCTCTCGATAGTGCGACTAGAGATACTAATACAGGTAGGTATGCGTTGTGTATGACAACCAATCAGTTGTGTATAATTAATAACTGTATATTGTGGAGATGTTTTAATTTTTCCATTAATATACTTTAATATTTGAGTAAATAAAATACTGGCACTGATTTTGATTTCATTCCTTCGGCCCGCATAAATATGGGATATATATAATGTGGCCCGCACATTGAAAAGTTTGGAGACCCCTGCACTAGAGGGACGCGCAGTAAAGATGACACCGAAGACCTACCGACAACCCAGCATTACTCAACAAACCTCACTATCTGAGTCTCCATTTCCATTTCCACTTCCGGGCCGTCGATCCCCGTCAGGGACTTGCCCCCCCCCCCCCTAGCGAACTCTCATGATGTTAGAACAGCGAACTCTCGTGATGTTAGAACAGCGAACTCTCATGATGTTAGAACAGCGAACTCTCGTGATGTTAGAAGGAGCGAACTCTCATTGTGTTAGAACAGTGAACTCTCGTGATGTTAGAACAGCGAACTCTAATGATGTTAGAACAGGGAACTCTCATGTTGTTAGAACAGTGAACTCTCATGAAGTTAAATGAGTGAACTCTCATGATGTTAGAACAGCGAACTCTCATGATGTTAGAACAGCTAACTCTCATGATGTTAGAACAGCAAACTCTCATGAAGATAGAACCTGTCTCTTATACACATCTAGATGTGTATGGACTGTGTTGAGGGACTGTGTTGAGGGACTGTGTTGAGGGACTGTGTTGTCAGAGACTCGTACTCGATGACCTCTTCTTACTCGGCACGCTGTTCCTCTGCTAGCATCACTGAAGTGGTGCGCTCGATGGTTCGCCAGGCAAACTCCATGTCTTCCGACTCCGTGAAGCGGGAGCAAACCGCCACCCTGGACAACAATGAAAAAATATAACTCAGTACTCACTGCAGTGAGTGACAGAGAGCGCATTTGCTCAAAATCGACGAAAACGTGAAATCACAGACAGACAGACAGACGGACGGACAAACGGACATGACGAGCACAATTCTCATTTTTGGAAAAAAAAATGCCCTATTGCGCTCGCCATGTCCGTCTGTCTGTCCGTGATTCCACGTTTTCGTCGACGAGAAAATGCCGTCTCTGTCACTCACTGCAGTGAGTACTGAGTTATATTTTTTCCATAAATGAGGAAATGCGCTAAAAATAAGTGGTAAGTTTCTCGATCGTTGGAAACTTGTGTGACGAAAACAGTTCTGGTCGCCATAAAGCTACGGGAACTTTCGTTAGATATAAAATATAAATATTTAAATGTAATTTTTAGTAAAATAAACAATATTTAATGAAGTATTTGAGACATATTCAGTACAGGAGAATGCCTGACCTGAGGAAATATACGCCTCGTGCCTCTGAAGCGACCAGATGGATGTCGCCGTCTTTGTTAAGGCGCTGCAGCAGACGCTTGTTGAATGCGTTTTCGTCACGCACCACCTTGCAAAAAAAAATACTTTATGAACACTTATGTGCCGCAAATTTTAATTGTGTTGAATTCAAGTTTGCGTTATGTGATTTCTGAAAGTGTGACCGACGTGCAAGCATGAAAGGTGCAAAGCAATCGAGTAAATTAGGCAAGAGAAGTATTGTGCGCCCATGCATAGTTCGTTTCTTGTTCTCATTAAAAAAGATGTAGACCGGCTGTATAAAGCGGTGCCATTGAGGGGGACTGTGTTCATCATCACCTCACACCATCATGTGTGGGGTGATGATGAACTGTATTTACAGCACTGTGTGCTGTAAATAAAAAACTGTACATAACACATTAACTTTCAAGCAGGTTTCATTGAAGACCAGAGAATTTGTTTTATTCACAATTTTCTTATTAGTTTTTTTGTGTTGTAAAAAAACTAATTAGAAAATTGCGAATGCAACAAATTCTCTGGTCTTCAATGAAACCTGCTTGAGAGAAGAAATTCTGACAACCTAAACTAATTTTCGAAAACATTAACTGTACATAAAAAATATTGTCACCTCGACATGTGGCAGATCTGGTACACAAAATTCAGATGTTATATCGTAATTGCTTCGTTGAGGTCAGAATCCTAATGTTGGAGGAAAAACTTCACAAGAACGGGATCATCCAAGATTGTAACTGCTGAAACTTATAAAATATATTTATTTTATTTCGGTATTAGTCTTGAAGTTGAAATTTCTAAAACTTCAATAATTTCATACAACATCAACCACATTTCACACAATTGTTCGCCTCTATTTTCGATAAGGTAGTCGGTCAAACTTAAGTAACTATGTAACCTAGTTAAAACTCAGAGAGTAATTCCAAACTTCCCTTATAATTTTCTTAAATGTTTACAATCATAATGAGTGAGATGAATTAAGTGTACATCTGACCTTAACCCTGAAGCAGACGAGCCCCAGCACCGTGGTCTGACCTTAACCCTGAAGCAGACGAGCC